GCCCCTCTCGAACATAATAAGAGAAATATTTATCAAAAAGTAAATTGCTCTGAACAAAACTGTAGAGAAGAGAGAAGCACATTTAATGTGCACAACATGTTTTCCTTCAGACTTTACGCTTTCGAGATAATTCAACAGAAGAGACTTCACGCATACATTTGGACTTCCTTACCCAACAGTCATCAGTGGAATCCAGAATACACACGAAGATTGCCGAAGTCAGATAGGCCTAATAATAAAACGAGGCTTTCTCCCACCTGACTTTAGAGGCTTACACGTATATAAACATATGGATGCCATTAAAATATAATTTATGGTGCTGCCGAAATCTATTATTCTCGATCGTGATGAATAAATCAACAAGAAAAGTGCTTCAGTTGTTTCAGCATAATATAACAATCAAGTAAAAATAAAAATAAATGAAATCCGATTTGTTCTATTCTTTTAATGTAGGGCTTTACTAAAGTGCTACTTATTTATACCTCTTTTAATATATGTAGTAACAGTGAACAGTGGAATCTTAGTATTAAATATTTATTTATTTGGTGCACAATCGCGGCTTCTCGCCCGTGTGAATAAGCATCAACTATATTTCCATGATTTATTCTGACCGTCTTACAGTGCATACATTTATTCACCTTACTCTTCTCTCTTGCACTACATGTTTCAGCACAAAAGTGCCATCTTCAGGTGCTTTTCGATGTACGTCGAATTACTTCATTGCATGCCCTGTTGTCTTTATACTAAAATAACTAAACTATATATTCGTCATATATATTGATAAATTTTAAATATTAAAAATATTAAAACTGTTCAGGATTTGTCATCCTTATGTCGTATCTCAATACGCGAGTCACACCTATCTTCTTCTATCGGCGTATTCTTCCTAATTTAATGTGTGTATTGTGCTTTATGTTGTGTCTTGCTCCTGTGACTGCGTGTGTTATACTGCTGGGCCTGCTGGGTATGTGTCTGTGGTTAGTATACTAGTATACTTGGGGCTGTTAACGATTTTTGGTAACATATTTTTTACANAGAGAGAAGAGTAAGGTGAATTAATGTATGCACTGTAAGACGGTCAGAATAAATCATGGACATAAATCAGTGCAATAGGACGCTAAAATATAACATTATCAACTATATTTGCATGCGAACTTAATGTTTGTCTAATGGGAAGAATTCATCATAATATTGATTTAGTTCTATGTAAATAAGGCACCTCTCCCGTAAGTTTTCGGTTTTCGGGATAATTTTGCGGGGTTATTTTTTAAATCTACAAACAGTAACAATTAATAGGCCATGTTTGTTTCGCTACGCATACATTTCCTAGCTTATTATATAGGAAACGGGAAGATAAACGTTTCTAAACTGAATAATACCAAGAATTCTCCATATTTAATGTGGCTTAAATCCTGATGAATCCAGTTTTCACTTGTTACTGTCATTCTCCCAAATTTTGATTTTGTTAGCTGTTTTTACTTATGGGCGTCGGCAGAGGGTGGAGGGTAAACCAGACGACTGACCTTCCTTGGATATTTGGAAAATAAAAAGGCCCGGTACCTTATAGTAATACCAACAATTAAAACTATCTTTAAATATTTATTATTGCTTCCTGAATACTCAAGGTTTGTCAGACGGGCGGAAATTATGCAACTGAGTCTAGTGCTTCTGATGTTGAAATTTCTGTTGAAAAGGTACAGGGTCATCTTTGCAAGCAATCGCTTGCAGTTATGATATCGTAATCACAGTCCAGTGGTAGCAGTTGCTGAATAATATGTATTCTGTGCGGAAACAGTTTCACTGTCTTCGCTGATTTTCGACAACTACTGTATGTCGTTCCAGTTTGGATTTCGATGTTGTACATCAGCTACTGATTACATCTTTTGTATCCATCAGATACTGGAAAGAAAAATGGGAGTACAATGAGATAGTACATAAGCTATTTATGAAGTTCAAGAAAGCCTATGATACAGTTAAGTATTGTACTGTATTGTTATTGAGTTTTATATACTCTAGAAACTACAATACTTAAGCTAATTAAGATGTACTTAAATGAACGCTATAGTAATGTCCGTCTTAAGTACACATTTGTCTGCCACGTTTTCTATCCAAAATGGTACGAATCTAGGAGCTGCTTTATCGCGATTGCTTTTAGCCTTTGATTTAGAAGAAGTCATTAGGGAGGCTCAAGAAAACACGATAGAACTGAAATTGAATGGAATATCTAGGCTTCTGGTATATGATGGTGTTAATTTATTGGCGTATAACAAATATCGCAGCTGCTATATTACACACTAGCAAGGAATTTGGCCTACAAGTAAACGCATGAAAAACTAAGTATAGGTTAATATCTGGTCATCAGAATGCAGAACAGAATCGTAGATATAGATAACAGATCATTTTAAAATATGGCAGAGTTCAGATATTTGTGAACGACAGTTATATATCGAAATTTGACTCATGAAGAAATGAACAGCAGATTAAGTAAGGGGAATGCTTCCTACCAACAGTTCAAAATAGGTTGTCTTCTCGCCTGAAATCTAGAAACGTAGAGATTTAGTTTTGTATGGGTGTGAAACTTGGCCTTCAACGTTATGGGAAGAAGACAGAATGAGGGTGTTTGAGAATTAGGTGCTGAGGACAATATCTGGACCCAAGATGGATGAAATGATAGGAGGATGGAGAAAGTTGCATAATGAGAAGTTCCAAAATTTGTACACCTAATTATATATTGCCAGAATGGTCCTGTGAAGAAGGATGGGATGGGCAGGGCATATTCGAGGTGTATAGGGAAGTTCCCGGACTGTATTGTAACTGCCTCGATGAAAGATGAGATTGCATGTCAAGGTCACACTTCCGCAAACTTATTACATTTGTCTGCCAAGTGACATCGCGCTATGAACATACATTGTTGTTACACGAGTGCTTTTTCGACTTCGTGTTTCATTTTGTCTGCGATGGATGGCAAAATCGAGCAACGTGTCTGCATCAAGTTTTGCGTGAAGCTCGGTAAATCCGCTACCGAAACCCTTGAAATGCTTCATGAGGTTTTTGGAGAAATACCTTAAGCCGGATAACGGTTTTTGAATGACATTCACGTTTCAAGGCCGGTCGAGTGTCAGTAGAAGATCATGAACGTTCAGGGTGACCTAACACCAGCAAAACGACAGAAAATGTTGGCAAAAATTCGAGAACTCATTAACGAAGACCTTCGCCGAACAATCCATGAGCTAGCAGACACCACTGGGAACAGTTATGGAGTTTTCCAGGAGATCTAAACAGAATTTGAAAATTCGCTGCATTTTCACGAAGTTTGTTCCCGGACCCTTGACAAACGATCAAAAGCAGCGGCTAATGGGGACCCATCTTTTATCTCTAGGATTATAACTGGTGAAGAAAGTTGGATTTACTCGTACGGTTATGATCCAGAAACAAAGCAACAATCGTTGCAGTGGAAGAGCCCAAAATCACGAAGAGAAAAAAGGCGCGGCAGGTCCGGAGTTCAACAAAGAGCATGCTCATTTTTTTTTTGACATGAAGGGGATTGTTCAGTGTGAATTTGTTCCCCCTAACATTACTGTCTGCTCTGACTTTTACTGGGACATTTTGAGACGCTTGAGAGAAAAGTCTGCGACGAAAAAGACCGGAACTTCGGAGCAAGCACAACTGGTTCCATCACGACAATGCGCCCGCCCACACGTCCCTGAAAACCACAGTTTGTGACTAACAGCAACATGGTTATTGTTCCCCATCCTCGCTACTCGCCGGACTTAGCCCCCTGTGATTTCCCTTTATTTGCAAAATTGAAATTGAAACTAAAGGGACGACGTTTTGAAGCAGTGTCTGACATCCGAAGGGGATCGCAAGTGGTACTCGACAGCATTAAGGAAAATGACTTCAACGGTGCTTTTGAAGCGTGGAAGAAATGATGGAATCGCTGTATACATTCCCAAGGAGACTATTTTGAAGGAGATGGCAGCCAAAATTGAGTAAGTTAATCCAGCATTTCTTTTTTGGCCTAGTCTAGGAAGTTTCCGATAGCACCTCGTAGTACTCATGGGAACGAAGAGTGCACCCACAGCTTCGGCTGGAATTCCTTAAGGAAAGAAACCACCAAGAAGATCTAGGTGGGAGGATGACACTAAAATATGGTTTAAATAAATAGGATGGGGTGAGGACGGGATTCGTGTGTCTCAGGACTGGGGTTAGGAACCTTCGGGTTGCATAAAATGCTGCGGCAACTGCCGGCTCTTCACTAAGGATGCAGCTTCATAGAGTTAGTTATGTAGTGACCCAATAAATTAAATTAACTCGTACATATTGCGGTGGGTGGGGTTTTAATGGCAGCATTACTGCATAGTTACAGAGAAGGATGTGTCTTCGCAGGAAAATTATAGGTTTTCCTGATTCTTCATGTAGACTCGAGATGGTTGATGTGGAAGTCCCCAATGGCAAGAGGAACCCCAGTTTGTGAATGGGAAGAAAGACCGCCACCACTCTTCTGACTGAAGACTGAGGCAGTATGCTCCTCCGAAAAGTCGGCAAACGTACGTCGTCACATCTCAGAAGGCGGTAATGCTCACAGTTACCACCACGAGCGGCCGCACCATAGCTGAGGCGATTAGTCGCTGGCTTCCTACCGCGAAGGCCCGGGTGCGGGCCTGAGTCTGGTCATGTGGGATTTGTGGTGACAAAGTGGCGCTGGGGCAGGTTTTCTCCTAGTACTTAGGTTTCCCCTGCCAATCTTCATTCCACCAATTGCTCCACAATCACTATCGTCTATATCATCTGGTGCTGGTACAGTAGGCCAGTAGTGGCCGGAGTACCAAGTGGACTCAGTCTCACCCCACTAAGAATACGTGAAAGATACGTGAAGATATAGAGTTGGATTATGGGGTAGTTGGTGAATAATGAACTAGAATGGATTTAGAAGGAAATGATCGAGGGCTAATTGGGGTACCATCCGATAATTTACTGGAAGGCNAATGTTTTCCGTGTAGGTGCCTACTGGGATACCACAGCCAGGAGTTATGGCGAGATGGCGGCCCGACTTGCAGGGCAAGCTGCGGCCAGACTCTTTGGAGCAGTTCAAAAGGGATGGCTACGTGTACGTGAGCACAAGCTACTTCAATAAGGTGCAGGGGTTCAAAGTGAACCTCTACGACAACCCTGACCCAAAGTCCGGCTACAGACCTGGCCTCACACCTGTCGAGAGGATCATGGGCACCACCACTGTTTTCCTGGGCATTCCGTATGCCCTGCCGCCCGTCAAGGAGGGTCGATTCAAGGTATGTAGTTGTGTTTTCCCTTCCTGAGCAGCGAACGACATACAACGTTTAGAACGATTGGCGATGTTTTCCCGCATTGTCTTTAATAGTTCGTAATGTCAGTGAAAATACTCGTAAAACTCTCATGCTGTTTCTTGTTGTTGCGTGAGTGATTTGTTGGTTGCTATGGAACTGTTCGAAGCGAGGCATCCAAGAAGTTAATGAACCCTACAAATTGTAACTCACTCTTCCCCAGTTGCTCTTTCCTATAGACCTTGTTTAAAGTAATCGTGACACCGTTCTGCTCCGGCTGCGGACCAATCTTTCTTCAGGCATGTAGGATCTGCTGCAACAAACATTATTTTCGGCTGGTGCAGCCGTCATTATGCAGCAACATTGTTATTTAAAACTTTGGAAATTCAGAATTGTTTAAAAAGTCGAGTCATTTTCAATATAATGGAAAAGTAATCGTTTGAAAATCTCCCTTAATTTCTTAGAATTGGTGCCTCCTTATTTTATACACATGTTATAAATTGTGCCTTTAGTTTATGTTTGAGTTCGTAGTTCTGTTACCAAGTTCTTGAGGTGGAAGGAAGGAAGGAAGTGGGATGGTTTTAACGAGTCTGCAGGCGATTTTTGAAGAGCAATAGCTCTCTGAACGGTCATAGGTTAAAGAAAGAAACATCCGATCACACTTTTCAATTATGTTACAGGATTTTATTACTTAATATAACAGTTATTATTTCTATCTATATTCTTCTTATATAGTTCAAGGATCAGGCCGATGGCCTGTTCAGCATCAGTGAATTCCACCTTCTGCTTGGTCTACCAGGATATCTTCTTTCTTTGGGCATATTCCAAGCATCCTGCGTCGGAACTCGTCTGTCTTCCATCCTTCTCACATGTTCAGATCAAACGTATCTGTATCTTCTTACTCTGTCATTCAGAGAGAAGACACGTAATTCTTTCCTTTATATCTTCGTTCCTAATTGTATATCAGTTTACGGATTTTGGGAATCACGTTTCTACTGTTTGTAATTATTGCATGTCGCTTTTTCTCATTGTGCAACGTTCACTTCCATATGGCAGCGCAGGGACGGGAAGCACGTGGTAAAATATTGTTGCTGTATCCTTTCGACTTTTGCTATCTACGAGTATATCATAAGGCCTTATAAGGCACTTACTCATGGAGCTGAGCCCTTCTTGAGGAGCCGCCAATTCTGCAGCTACTCAAGAATTTTCCAGCATTTTATGGAACCCGAAGGTTCATCACCGTGTTCACAAGAGCCCTCCGCTGGTCCCTATCCTGAGCCAGATCTATCCAATCCAGCCCATCCCGTCCTGTCTCTCTAAGATCCATTCTAATATTGTCCACCCATCTACGCCTTGGTCTTCCCTGTGGCCTCTTTCCTTCTGGCTTTCCCACCAATATCCTATACGCATTCCTCGTCTCCCCCATTCGCGCTACATAACCTGCTCACCTCATCCTCCTTGACTTGATCATTCTAATTATACTTGGAGAAGAGTACAACCTTATAAGGCACTAATACGAGTAATATAAACGCGGGATGTTGTTGTGTATTTGTTTATGGTGGAAAGAGCTGTTACATTATGATCCCTAATTTTTCGGTACTAGTTGTTTTGATTGGTTGCCTTTCATCAAGAAGCCTTTTAATTTGGTGTTCCTATGTCGTGTGCCGACACTCCTGTGCAGAGCGGTAGGTGAGCAAACATTGAAATGGGCGAGTAATGTGTAGGTAAAAAAAAGACTCCGTGGCATGTAGTCCGCAAACGAACTATACCGACTGAGCGACCGCCACTCGTCGGCGAAGTTAGTGAAAACTTTTGCGTATAGAGGGTGTCACGTGGTCAGCGCAACGGATCCCCACCGCCGTTAATCTCGGGTTTCTAGACCGGAGCCGCTATTTCCGTGAAATAGCTCCTCGGTTATCCTCACGAGGCTGAGTGGACTCCGTTTCAGACCCAAAACTTCGCTGAAAAATGTGGTAGAGCCGGGAATCGAACCCGGGACCTCTGGATCTATAGGCAGGAATTCTGACCACTAGACCAGTGTTCCGCAGCCGGTGTGTCGTCACAAGGTGAAAGGTGTGACGCGAAATTTTACCTATTGTAAGAAATTAATTGTCGAATTTTATTCGTTTTATTTTATCCCAGTTACCGTGTTTCATATACTTGTATTTTATTCTCAGCCACTGCACTGATTAAATAAGATGATGCTTGTTTATTCTTTATTACATGCTGTGATTTTTTATTTACAGTAATGTTGTATTCTAAGAAATTAAACGTATGTTATTTACAAGTTGTTGTTATATCATAGTTTTCATTACTGATTTATTTTTATTTTCCTCGCATCTACGCAGCTTCTTTGATATGTGTTTGCCGCATGCTCTGTGTACGTGATTTTCCCTAAAACTGCATAGATTAGCATCGTTCTTCCTGTCTTTTATAACGCTGTTTCGGTATTTGCCCCTGTTTGTTAAAGTTAGAGCTTCTTCAATTTTATGACTTTCTTCCTGTAACGATGCACCCACCGATTGTTGGACTTCATTTAAAATTATAAATATTTAAAAAATAAGTCGGTATAGTGTCACTTCTTCCGTTTGAAGAGTAGAGATCCCGCGTTTTACAATTGTTTCAGTTCTATCACAGCTGTGCTCTGAAGTAGTTCGCAAATTTTGGTTGCTANACTTTTCGGTTGGCAATAAGGAGTGAATACGCGGCTATCTCCGAGATGGCAGTTAATGTGTTATTGCCATTTTCAACTACATATTTGTGTGAACTGGGCTTCTCGACGTTAACTGAAATTAAGACATCAAAGAGGGAGCGCCTCAAATCCACTGATGAAGAAATGAGACTTGCGTTGTCAACGATTCCACCACGGATCAGTCGCCTGTGTGCAGCTACGCAGGCTATGAGTAGAATTACTGTATTTACTTTAATAGTAATAGAAGTGTATTTTCTGCACTCTACAGTGAATTAAGGTTCATTAATTGTTAATAAATGCACGAGTCGATTTCTGTTTAATGATAATAAAATAACAATATAATAATATTATAATTAAGTTGATCACGTTACATATTTATATTGATTGTCTGATATCATACGTTTTTGAGGGGAATAACATTTTGGTGTGCCGTGTTGAGTCATGGATACTTCATGGTGTGCCGCGAGTATCAAAAGGTTGCGGAACACTGCACTAGACCACAGAGGAATGTGTAGGTAATAGCGAGTTAATTGACGTTTACTGGAACGAAGGTGGCACAGTTGAGAAGTCTGTCTCTGGCACAACCCCAAGGGAGATCGATACAGTCCTCTGATATACAACATATTAACATGCCACCCAGTCATGACAGCCCACCTACGCGGAGTATGAAGTGCACAGAACAGAGTTCGGCCCAACTTCGCAACTTGCACACTTGACTGGCCAAGATCCGAATACAGAGTCCTAACGCCAGTCTCTTACGTATAGCTTTCTTCAAAATGTTGCACCCTCTCAATGAATATACCACTGCTAAGCCGGAAAGTCGCGGGTTCGATTCCCGATGAGATCATTGGATTGTTCAGTTGACTAGTCCTTCCAGCCGCACTATGGCCCCGGGGTCGACTTAGCCTCTAGCAGAAATGAGTATCAGGAATCTTTCTTGGAGTAAAGGGCGGTCGGCACGTAAGGCTGACAACCTCACGCCATCTGTGAGCCGATTGTGTAGAGAATGTTGGAACCTCGACGTCTCACAACCCTATGGGCCTCCACGGCCTGTTGCAGGGATAGCTTCACCTTTTCTTTACATATAAAATTAGTCCTTATTAACGCGAACAAGTTATATACATTTAAATTTCTTTTTGTATGAGCGAATAGTGAATTCGTAATATTGATTGTTTTTTAATCCAGTACATAGTTTTGACTTCTCGACAATTCGAAATAGTATCAGCAAACGGGTGGTTGCATGTGAATTTAATGTTTGTTTATTATAAGGAAAGAAACGTAGGAGGGAGGCGGGTACTGCACACAGTCGGCAGTGGTTCGCACGTCAGTTTGGAGTTCCCAGAAGCCATAAGCAACTCTACACCGCACTGTAATGTAGCAGAAGCTTCCAAAAATTATTTCAAGTGCAGTTTTTATGCATGAAATGCATCTTTGCTGAACATCTTACATTAATTAGGGGCAGACCTAAACGACAGCACTATTCATTTATTGCGTTATATATTCCGTTGGCTTTTTGGGGGATTTTTGTAACACATTTCTTCATGCTCCTTAGTAAATTTAAACTGCAGCTACATGTATTGGTTTCAGTTCTTTCGAAATGATTATTTTTATGTTCTTATGCTGTATATTTTGAAATCTGGAGTTTATTTCACCCAAAATACGTTTCTCGTTCCGGCGCCCCACATGCGTATGTAAAATGGTACGCTATGCATAAAAAGGTAACACACTTCCTGTAAGAAGCCGCGAAGACCCATAGAGTTGTGAGACGTCGAGGCTCCCACATTTTCTCTAGACACTCGGCTCACAAATGGCGGTAAGGTTGTCAGCCTTAAGCGCCGGCCGCCCCTTACCCCTCAGGTAGATTCCTGGTACTCATTTATGTTAGAGGCTGAGTCGACCCCACGGCCAAACTGCAGCCGGAAGGATTAGGCCATTCGAAAAAATCCGCCTCATTGGGACTCGAACCCGCGACCTTCCGGCTTGTAGCATAGTGCCTCAACCAACTACGCTACCGAATGTACACACGTCTTAATGACAGTCTGAAAATGGCTTTTAAAAATTAGACGCTCTAGATCAGTGGAAAGCCTGGGAAGATTATCACCACATAGTATATAATTTTTTTATTGCTAGGGGGTGGGGCTAAGTCCCTTGTACTGCGGCCACTTCTGGCCTATTGTACCAGCCCCAGATGATAGGTGAGGGTGATTGTGGAGCAATTGGTAGAATGAAGATCGGCAAGGGAAACCGAAGTACTCGGAGAAAACCTGCCCCAGCGCCACTTTGTCCACCTAGTATA